TTTTTTTTTTTTTGGTCTTTTTTTTTTTTTTTTGATGGATAGACTTCGAAATATCTCAAGCTGTTCTCCTGTGTCCAACACGTCCCTTTGCAGATCTCCTTGATATTTTTCCCTCCAATTATTAGCATTATCACCATTATTTTATTTTTAGCTATTACAAGACTTTTTTTATTTCCAGATGTTAGTCCACACCTATTCCGCCATGGTGAGTTTGGATCCATGTTGTACTAGAATTGCATGTTCTCTCTCTCTCTCGATCTGTTGTCTCTCTCTCTCCCTCTCTCTCTCTTTTTAAACGCCTTTGGCTTGGTAATTTAGCACAATAATTGGAGGAGCCTTGCAGCTGCTTCTCCCTTTTTGCATTGTGTGTTCTCGATTTGAGCTAGGGGAGTTTGGGGGGGAGAGCAGGGGAAAAAAATAAACTTTTTTTCCTTTTTTTTTTTTTAAATTATTATTTTTAATTTTTTTTAGGGGGGGACTTTTTTTTTACAAAAAGCCCCCGTGATTTTTTTTTTTTTTTAAATTATTATTTTTAATTTTTTTTAGGGGGGGACTTTTTTTTTACAAAAAGCCCCCGTGATTTTTTTTTTTTTTTAAATTATTATTTTTAATTTTTTTTAGGGGGGGACTTTTTTTTTACAAAAAGCCCCCGTGATTTTTTTTTTTTTTTAAATTATTATTTTTAATTTTTTTTAGGGGGGGACTTTTTTTTTACAAAAAGCCCCCGTGATTTTTCATTTTTTTTTCTCCCAAGTCCTTTCTTGGACACCTTCTTACCTCGGAGTCCTCCGAGAAGTGCAACTTTCCTTTTGGTCTTTTCCACATGAGGATGGGTTGGTGATTTTGAGTTTCAGGACTTCAGCAGAGGGAATAAACAGATGTTTGGAAACTTTAGGCAGGACAAGGAGTGGGTTGTTTGGAAGGACGGGTGGCTTAGAGGTTCTAAATTTTATTTATTTTATTTTTTTTTTTAAACCGGTGGTTTCATTTGGGGGACTGCTGGAGGGGCAATGGTGTTATTGGACTGAAGTCACAGATCACACACGCATATAGAGCACCAGTCCTACATTTTTAATTATGACATTTAGCATTTCTCCCTCAAACCCCACCACCCTCCCTTCCCCCTTCTTGAGATTTACTGGGAATAGACACGATCTGAGTGTGAAACGCTGGAACATTTCTCATCTGCGGCGCGGGAAGGAGGCACAGTTTAGAACTGCTGACATTTTTATTTTATTTTATTTGGGGGTGGGTTTGTGCTCCGTTTACTTTTTAATTATTTTTTTTTCCTAAAAGGTCCTCTTTTTTTGTTGTTTTCATTTCATTCCCCTCGTAGGACCGGCATGATGGAGTGCCCAGCCACAGTTCCAGGCTGTCCCAGCTGGGATCCGTCTCCCAGGGACCCTACTCCAGCGCTCCTCCGCTCTCTCACACCCCATCCTCGGATTTCCAGCCGCCTTATTTCCCACCCCCCTACCAGCCTCTTCCTTACCACCAAAGCCAGGACCCTTACTCCCATGTCAATGACCCCTACTCCCTAAACCCCTTGCATCAACCCCAGCAGCACCCCTGGGGACAGAGGCAGAGGCAAGAGGTGGGATCAGAAACCGGGTCACTGCTGCCACAGCCTCGGGCCGCCCTGCCCCAGCTCTCGGGACTGGACCCCAGGCGGGACTACCACTCAGTAAGGAGGCCAGATGTCCTTCTGCACTCAGCTCACCATGGCCTTGACTCCGGCATGGGGGACAGCCTTTCTCTGCATGGCATCGGACACCCAGGGATGGAGGAGGTGCAGGTAAGGCACGACGGTTTCTTTCTCCCGGGGCGATGGAGATGCCTTCCAGGTTGGAGGGCTGGAACTCCCATCCCTCGGCTGGGAATGCTCGAGGAGGGTTTTACAGCGATATTGGTGGGGGTTACCATCCTTTTTCCGCTCTGGGATTATAATAGTGATACTTCCCCTCCCTCGCTTTTTCTTTTTTTTTTTTTTTTTTCCTTTTTTTATTTATATATATAAAAGAGAATTTATTTCATCGCTGTCACGCACAGGCTCTGCTTTGCAAACCCTCCCCTACACGGCAAAGCCGGCAGAGTGCAGGGGGAAGGCAGACACGCTGCTCCAAATATTCCACGTGTTTCAAAAGCTGGCAGAGTTTAAGCCTGGCTTTTCAAATTCCAGTTATTTCCCATGTAAACTCCGGTTCCCCCACCCACCCACCCACCCCCAACCAATTTCCTGCTGTTCGGGGAATTTGATGAAACTGTCAAATTACTACATTTTTTTTCATCCGGGAGGGAGGGAAAATATAAACAAACCCCAAAACAAAAGCAATAACTGGTGATCAGGAACAAGCCACCCCCCTCTTTTTTTTTTTTTTTAAGTTTAGTTAGTAGGGTAGCACTGATTTTAAATAATGGTAGCGCTGACTTTAAATAGTTTTATTCCTTTTTTGAGGTAAAAAAGAAGTTCCACCGGGCTCAAAGCACAGTATTTCCCAGCCTTCTCCCATCCCACGCGAAACTCATCATCACGTGTTATTTCCTAAAAATAGAAAGGCCCTTAACAGCTTCGGTGCTGGGGTGCTTTGCACTGTGCTGGAGCAGGGCATAGCCAACCGGTGGGGACCCCCAAGCCGGAGGCTGGAGCCTCCAGGGGCCAGGTCCTGCATTAGGTTTTACTAGTCGGCATTTGGAGTTTCCCTTCCATTCCTTTTTGTTTTCTTTCCCCCCCAAAAAAATTGTATGTCATATATATCGTATATATATTTAGACTTGGGATAAATAAAGATATGGAGCACTGGTTGAGATACAGACGTCAAAGTTACAGGAAGGGAAAAAGAAAGGAGGACTGCGGGGTTTCCAAGCTGGTTTGGAGACCTGGGGGCAGCCCCTGACCCCCCATGGGCGCGATGCGCAGGTCTCGGCTCGCATTCCTGGCTCAGACAGAACTGGCTTGCAGGTCACGGCGAGTTTTACCTCTCCGGATACAGAAAGGGGATCTTTCTCCTTCTTTCTCTCTACAACCGATAGGCGTTAAGTACTGTTTATGCTTTGCTATTTACACTTCTCCCCCCCAAAAAAGCCCGTAATTGTTGTGCTGTCGAGAGAAAGAGAGGAAAAGAGAGAGGAGGGAAGTAAA